CCCCCCGCCCCACGCGGGACCGAGGCCGCTCTCGGGGAAACGCTGCAACTTCTCCCGGTCGGGTGTGGGGTGTCCGTGTGTGTGTGTGTCCCCTCCGCCCCCGGGCACGGCCAGCGGACCCCCGCACCCCCAGCACCGGGGGACCGGTTGGGACTGAAAGCGTCCCGGTTTGGACACAGCCGTGTCCCCCTGCTTCTTGTAAGGGGGGGGGGGAGGAGGGTGCCGGGACAACCCGATGCGATGCTCGGGGGGGGGGATGCAGCTGGGATAGGGGATGCTCGGGGGGGGCCCGCGGGCACCCAGCCCGGGTACCGTCCCGGTGCCACGGTCGGGAGTGGGGCACCCACCTCGGCCACCGCAACCTCTGCAGGGCCGTGGCTCCCCAAACTGCTCCCAGTTCGTTTTAAGCAACGCTGGCCTTGGAAGGCAAATGCACCACCCACCGAGGCAACCGTCTGGCTACCGGCCTGGAAAATACCCGTGTCCTGGGACGCGCGGAACAAGAATCGTCTCTTTGAACCCCGGTTGCTCGGGGGGAGCCTGTTCGGGGATTCTCCGTTTACCTTGACGGAGACGCAAAGGAAAAACCTCTCTGTAAACAGGATTGTTCAACGGGCTCCTTGTGCCCCCAGCAGGGTCCGGCCGCCGCCGCCGGGCTCACGCCGCCCGTGCCCCCCCGGGGAAGCGGTGGCGTGACTTTTGGGGTAGCATCACCCAGAGAGAGGGACCTGTACCCGGCCAGACCCACGTCCAGCCGAGCGGTCCCTGTCCCAGCTTGCATTTTTGGGAGAACCGGGCTGGGGTGCGTGGCACTAGCCGTGCCGCCGGCACGGGGCGAGCCTCGCTGGCAGAGGAAGTCGGTCGACTGTTGAAAAAGCTTCTCTTTATTTGCTCCGGTTTGCTCGAGGAGTGACTCAGTGCATCGCGCAGGATGTGAGGAGGTTAATTACAACCCTGCCTATGAACGGGGCTGGGAAAGGAAGGTGGCCGCTTGCACAAGGCCTCCCCCGGCCGGCGGGGTGACGGCCGCCGCTCCGGGACGCGGGAGCTGCCGGCTGCATCCCATGGGTGCACCGGGTGACACGTGGCCTCTGGGCGCGGCATCGCGCCTGGGGCCCTCGCGCCCCAATTATGCCCATTTGGCCCCAAATCGTGCCGGGCTTGCTCGCCCCGCTCTGGCGTGGGACGTCGTGCCGGGGACCCGCCGTCTCCCGTGGCCGGTGATGCCGGTGGCGTTGCCCACCACGGTCAGCTCGTAGGTGGCTTGTTTAAATTTGGGACCCCGCTTGGGCGGGGGCTGTCCTGGGAGAGCAGTTCCCTCTTGCTCCGGCCGCTTGTCAAAATAGCCGTACGGGTGACTCAGCGGTGTCCGGGGGGGGGCCTGGGGTCTCGCAAGGGGAAACTGAGGCACGGGGGAATGTGGCTCGTCCTGCTGCACCTGGGGGGGGTGGTGGTGGTGGTGGAGGAAGAGCCCCAGAGCACGACCCGCCTGCGGCCTTTCCTTCCCCAGCAATTAGGCTCTTCCCAAACGTCCGGAGGATGTTTGCTCGTGGCTCCCGGCCAGCTCGGAGCGGGTGGAGGCGCAGGAGCTGGGCCCCCCCAGCACGGCTCAGAGCAGCCCCCCCACCCTGCTTCCCACGGGCTGGCACAGGCGTGAACCCCTACGGTGCAGCTCCCAGCCACGCCACGGGCCATATCCTCACCCGGCACAGGGAGATGCCTCGGCTCTAGCCTGTCTGGCAGGAATGTTGGGCTGCAGGGAGCCTGCCGTGCCTTCCCACCAGTGCATATCCCACCCGTGGGGTGACTGGGGTGGGGGGGACCAGGCAGCCGGGACCCCCAGGCTGGCTGATGGTCGTGGCTGTGCTGGGTCCCAGCTCCAGTGTGGCTCCGTGGTGCTGGGGCAGGAGCGATGGGTGAGGATGGCAGCCCCCCCCTTCCCTGGGGCTGCGGTGCTCCCCAAACCGGGGGGGACTGACCCGGGGTGAGGCGAGGACACGGCCCCTCCTGGCTGAGCCCCCCCTGCTTGGCCAGGAGGTGATGGGGTGCTGGGGGGGGTCCCTGAGGGGGGTCCCGGGTGCCACAGGGGGGCCGGTACCCAGCCGGGTGCTGGCAAGGTGCGTGGGCTGCAGCCAGCTGCCTCCTGCGGTCAGGTGCTTTTTATAAAATGAAGGGAAATAAAAAAGAAGGGAAAAAAAAAAAAAAAGGGGAAAAAAAAAAAAAAAAAAAGCCACGGCTGTCTCCAAGAGCAATACTGCTGTTTCCTCCCCAGGCGCCCAGGGGGATGGGAAGCGCAGGGCCGGCTGCCTGCAGCCTGCCCGGACACTGCCCGGCCCAGGGTGCCCATCTCCCCGGGACTGAGCCTTTTGCAAAGCCCCCGCATGGCCCCACTGAGGTGGGTGAGGCTGTGGGGGCTCCCCGGGGGTGCAGTGGGTCCCCACGCCGCCCCTGAGGCTCGCCTTGCTAGCTGAGGGGGGTTGCTGCAGGCTGGGTTTGCGGGGGGCTTTATGGCTCCCGTTGGCAAAGCCCTGGCACGGTGGGGTTTAACCCTTTGCCTCCTCTGCGCCCCGGTCGCAGCAGAGTCTTGGGGTGCCCATCGAGGCGGGGGGATGCGTTTGGACACTGGCGCTGCCATACGGCAGACGCCGTCACGGCCCCGAGCCGCGCGTGGGAAATATTAAGGCGGACCTGGGAACGTCGCCACGTGATGGGAACGTGGGTCTTCGTGCGCAAGCGGGAGATGTGCACGGGCATCCCGGTGCTGAGCCCGTGGCTCTTGGGATCCTGAGGGCTGCTCTGGCCTCCTGGCGTGGGCTGTGCCATCCCGGTGTGTGCCTGGTGTAGGGGCTGCAGCCCCAGGGCTGTGGGCGCTGGGTGTCCCCCCGGCACTGGGGTGGCAGCGAGCACCCATCCCCAAAGCCGCTGCGTTCCCTGTCCCGTTGCATCAGCCACTGGCATTTCCCAGGCTGGCAGCCGTGGCATCCAGCCCGGTGCCCTCCCGGGGCAGCTCCCGCAGCATCCCCAGGGAGCAGTGCCGGCTGCTGTCTCGGCGCTGGCAGGAGTGGGATTAATTTTCCACAAAAACAGGATACAGCGGGTGAACCGGTGGGGCTGCTCCCTCTTCCCGGAAAGAGGAGCCGGGGCTGGGGCTGGGAATGTACTGGTGGCTGGCTCTCCCAGCATGGCCAGCCCTGGGGCTCGCTGCTTTGGGGCTGTCCGGATTTTTTGGGGATGGGGAGAAATCCCGTGGGGAGAGCTGCCGTGGCCGGGGTTCATTAGCCGGCCTCTGGTTGGTAGCCAGTGGGTGCAGAGTGCAGGGTCCTGGGTGCAAAGTGACGCCCCGGGGACCCTGTCTGGGTTCCCCCAACCGTGGGGACCCCAGTTGGGACCAGTTAGCTGGGAGACAGGACCCAGCTGCATGGAAGCAGCTTGGCAGAGCTGCCTGGCTCTGGCAGCAGGTAACGGGCCCATGTGAAAATAGCAGGGCAGGCAGGGAATTAAAGAGCTCTGCTAATTAATCCTGAGCGGCCGCAGGTCCCTGCAGAGCCAGCGGCTGTGCCGGTGCCAATCGGTGTATGGGCTGCGCGTGGGCACGGGGTGGATGGTGCTGCGGGGCCGGTGCGTGGGGCTCCCCCGTCGCCGGCAGGGTCCGGGGAGCCCCCTTTCCCCATGGAGTTGGGTACGGATCCATCCCCGGGAGCTGGCTGGGCATGGGATGGTGTCTGGTTTGCAGGGAGGGGGCTGCACCAGACCCCAACCCTCTCCTGCAGCCGCCCTTCCCACGCTTCCCCGGCCCGATTGCGATGGGAGAGACCCCGGTGTCGACTCTCCCCAGCCACCCCCACCTTCGCCGCCGGGTCCCTGCCTTTCCCTGGGGTCCCCGATGACCCCCTTCCCCTCCCATGGGGAGATCTCAAGGAGAGATGAAAGGCTGGCGTGAAGGAAACCCGGCACACCTCACCCAGCTCCCCAGCGCTGCGATTTATCCTCCTCCCGGCGCATTAACGTCGTTAATATTTCAAATGCTGCTGGCCGCCAGCGGCGGCGGTGAATTCTCCAGCAGCGTGGGAGCTGGGCCGGCTGCTCCCGACTTCCCGGGGTCACAGGGCTGGGGAAGGGGGGATTTGGGGTGGGGATCCAGGATAACTCTGCTGGGGGTACAAGGGGGATGCTCAGCGCGGGCCAGATCCTGCCCCGTGCTCGCAGCAGAGGCGAGACCGCAGGGCATCGTGGGCGATGGGTGCTGCTTTGCGTGGGGAGGGGGACGGTGGGTGCCACGGCACTGCACCCACCCACCCGGCTCGGGATGATGGGGTGCGGGAGGGCGGGTTTCACCGCGGGACTGCTCTCCCCACATGCCAAACTGGTTTTTCTCCTCGTGCTGGTGCTTCCCCTGCTGTCAGCACGGCGGGGAACCGGTTTCCACCGACTCCGGGACAGAGCACCCACGCAGCGCCGGCATGGCGCACCTCGGTGTGCTTCCAAACTGGGCTGCATCGTGCCGGCGGACTGCTCCCCGTAGCATCATTTTTCTCCCCCCCTTTTCATCCTTGAGCCCTTAAAACTTGAAGGCTGTGGTGAGTGCTGACCACCCTGCCAGAGGGTCCCGTGGGTGCTGGCTCGGCTCTGGGGTGCAGTGGGGTGCTCTGCATTTGCAGGTAGCTGCTGCCAGCCCTTCCCAATGCCTTAGGTGACCCCGAGCCGCTGCCACTGGGATGCCTGCTCTATACTGGTCCAGGAGTGATGTCCCTTGTCCTGGGGGCCTGGTGCTGGTGGCATAAAATACCTGGGTCGCTCTGTTGCTCCGGGTACAGGTGGTCCCCGCAGCAAGTGCATACCCTGGTCCCCAGCGATGCCCGTGGGTCTCTCCACCGTGCCCACAATCCCCCTCCTCCCTGCAGCTCTCGGGCAGACCCCAGCCCAGGTGATGCCGGCAGGGCTCCGGCACAGTTGGTCCCCTCCATACCACTGGCACCCACAGGGTGACCGCGGCTGGGATGGGGGCTCATGCTGGGACTGGTTTGCCCCTGGCACCCGATGGCACGGGAGTGGGCAGTGGAGTCTGTGCCAGGATGGGGGGTGCTGGTGGCGACTGGGGGGGGGCTGGCTGGCTCCCACATAAGTGGAGCGGCGGCTCGCCCCCGCACCGGGAAGGCTCCTCTCGGCCCCGTCACCATTGGCGCGGGAAGGGGAATATTTGCTCCATGAGATCATGGTTTGCCGAAACGTAGCCAGCAACCCTCAGCAGCGTGTGGGGAGGTGACGCGTCCCGGGGTCACCGTGGAGAGGTGACTGGCAGGACGTTGGTCCGCAGAGGGGCAATTGCTCGTGGGGGGGCCGCACCATGTCCCCCCTTGGCTGTGCCGTCCCTCGCCCCAGGATGTGCCGTCCCATTGAAACCTCGTAAACACGGGAAGGGCTGTGCCGCGCTGCTGGTGCTGAGCACGTTCCCTGGCACCCAGCCTGCCCCCCGCCTCGTCGTCCCCCCGCCAGCCCCATGGGGCCGGGGGCTGCCCTCTTGGCCCCCTCTGCCTCTCCCCTTTCCCAAGTGGGGTGCCAAGGGGAGCAGGTCCCTGCCCTGGCCACGCAGAGCCAGGGTCCCTGAGACCAGTTTGCTGTGGCTGTTCCCTCCCCGGGCTGCCCCAGAGGGGTCCCCCCCTACCCAGAGTTGGGTCCCCCCAGCCTGCGGGGGGATGTATGCAAGGACACGTCCCCCTGGTTTGCAGGGGAGGGGATGGAGGGATGCCCTGGGACTGCCTGGAGTGAGGGCACAGTTAAAAAGCGAAGCCCCCATGCTGCGCAGCCCCCCCCCATGACTCCCTTCCTCTCCGGCCAGGCACTGATTTGGGGGGTGTCTTGCAGCGGCCATGTCCACATGGCTGGGCAGCCACAGGGCTGCCCCGTGGCTGGTCCCAGCTCGCACCGGTGCATATGCCGGTGTCTGTCACCGCTCGCCTGGCGTGCGCATGCAGCCGACGGGAACGCCGCGTCCCCAGCCACGGTGGCAGCTGCCCTGGGATGTCCCTGCCGTGCGGTTCCCGTTCCCGTCCCCGTCCCCATCCCCACTGGCGGCAGCTCTGCGGGACCCTGGCTCAGTCCCGCTCCCTGCCCAGCTCCTCCGACGGTTTCACGCCTGCAAACAAGCTGTAATTTAGGTCTAAAAATAAGCGAGGGGGAAGGTGGTGAGCTGGTGGCACGCCTGGAGCAGGGCTGGGTGCAGGTGAGGGGCTGTGCCAGCCCCGGGGTGGCCATGGGTGGGGGTCCCAGCCCAGCCGTGGGGTCCCTGCAAACCTTGGCATGGTCTTGCAGGAATGACGTGGAAATGCAGCAGATTTTGCTCATGGCTCTCGTCCCCCTGTCACCCCACATGTCTGGGACCTCTGGTGTCCCCCATGCGACCTGTGCAGGTCACCAGGACTGACCCAGCCTGGGCTCCTGTACTCTCTTCCCACCGGCTTTTCTGGGGGGCTTGAGCCCCCATCCAGGACTGCCCATCACTTTGGGGTGCCTCTTATTTTGGGGTATCCCCCTCCTCCTGCTTGGGCGTCCCTCAGCATGCAGGTCAGGGTGCCATCCTTGGGGATCCCCAGGGTGGGTGGGTGGGGGGGCGATGCAGCCAGGAGCCCGGTGGGCTCCAGCCCCTTCCCCGTGCCTCATCCCCAGTACTAACCCTGCCTGTCCCTCTGCCCCCAGCCTGCCTTTTCCGATTCAACGTCCTCTCCTTGGTGTACCTGCTTTTCCTGCTGCTCCTGCCCTGGTTCCCGGGGCCCACCCAGCACTCCGCCGGAGGTAAGGGGCTCAGCCTGGGGTGGGGGGGACCGGGCAGAGGATGGCGGGCAGAAGGGTGGGCAGCACGCAGGCAGCTCTGGCTTGGGGGAACTGGGCAGCGCGGGGGCTGCCAGCCGCTCTCTGGCAGGTACCTGCCCTCCTTCTCCTGCGGTTTCCCCCCCGGCCGGGCAGCGTGGCTCCGCATGGCAGCCTCACTCTGTTAATTATAGCCCGGCGCGGCTATTAATAGGCCTCCTGCTCCGAAATGGCCGGTTTTGAGCCCTAGCCTTATTAACCAGAAACCTCAGGGCTGAGCTCTGCCCGCTGGGTGGGCAGGGATGTACCACGAGCAGCCCCTCCGCCCTGCCCGGGCACGTTCTCCGCAGTGGGCATGCGTGGGGGGGGGTGCAGGAGGTGCATCACCCACGGTGGGTGCACGGGACGTGGCCCTTCAGGGTGGGCACCAGGTGCCCGTAGCCCTCCTGTCTCCCTGCCCTCTGTGCCAGGCTGAGCCATGCTGTAACACAACCCAGCAGCGCCTGGCACGGCCGCGGCTAAAAGCTTTGCCCTCTGAATATTTCATGGGCTTGCACGGCCCCGGAGCCCAGGCGCTGCCGAGAGCCTTTGCAGGGATTTACAGGAAAAAACAAGCGGAGGGAGAGTTTTTGGCCAGGGCCCCCCCCCCCCCCCCCAGCCAGCACGCAGCTGCGGTGGGCTCGCTGCCTGTCCCACGGCCAGGAAAACGGGCGCGTGGCCCCGGGAGCCGGGTGGGATTTGGGCACAGCTGCAGCTGGTGGAAGGTGTGACGGGGCTGGCGGTGCAGGGGAACCCCTGGCGCCCACCTACAGCCCCCCACCACAGGATGTTCCACCAGGGATTGGGGTGGGGATGGTGAGCTGCATCCCAATGCCGGTCCCGGTGCAGTGGGCCCGGGAAGCGCCCGGTGCCAGTGAGGTTGGAGGGTGCTGCAGGGGCGAGGGGAGGGAGTGTGGTCCTGGGTTTCTGCATTGCCCCGTGCCTCAGTTTCCCCAGTAATGCAACAGAAAGGATGCTCTTAAGCTGTGCTGGGTGCACAGTGAGACATGCAAGGTCCTGGTGGGACCATGTCCCTGGGGCAGACCCCTGGCATCTCTGGGCACAGCCACAGTGCGTCCCTTCCCAGCTTTTCCCAGGGGTGCTGGGTCTCCAGTGGGGATGCTGGGACTCCCCGGGGCCACCTTGGGCGATGGGTAATGGGGTGCCCGTATCTCGCAGGTCACACCAGCCGCCTCCTCAAAGCTCTTCTGGGGACCAGCATCCTCTTCCTCCTCGCCCACTTCGTTTTCCAAATATGCCTATACACGCTGCCCATCCTGGACCAGCTGCTGGGGCCCAGCTGTGAGTACGGGGTGCCAGGGCAGCCTGCCCTCGCCCTCCTGCACCTCTGCTCTCCCAGGCTTCACCCCCTCCCCGCAGTGCCCTGGGGCTGGACCCCCAACATGGTAATACGTGGGTGCGGGGATCCCATCCGTCTGGGTGCCGGGGGGCTGCTGAAGCTCTGCAGGGTCCCAGCTGCGTGCCCAGCACCAGGGGTGTGCTGTGCCATGCCATGCCAGGGTGCCTGCTCGGTGGACGCTGCACTGGGCACAGACCCCATCCTGGGTCCCCACGGATGTGGGGTGTTCTCCCCACGGGGAAGCCACCTGCTCCGGGTGGGCTGGGAGCCTACCCACGCGGGGTCTGCCAAACTCAGCACCTCCCCGCTTCCCCGCAGGCAGCACCTGGGAGGTCCTCGCCCGGCACATCGGGGTCACCAGGTAAGGGTACCCCGGCGGTGTGGGGCTGGGGGGTGGTGGCGGCAGTGAGGGGGTTGCACCCCCAAGCCCTCCCCTGCCCCGCTTTCCCCCCCCAACCAGGCTGGACTTGAGCGACATCCCCAATTCGGTGCGTCTCGTGGCACCCGACGTTGGCATCCTGCTGGCCTCGTCCCTCTGCCTGTGCCTGTGCCGCCGTCTCGTCCCCAAGGCCGGTGCTGCCGCCCGCGGCCGGAGGCTGGAGTCCGTGGACCCCCTTGAGCGGGTGAGAGCTGACCCCGGCACCATCGGCAGCATCCCACCCGCCATGTCCTGCCGAGCCCCCGCCAGAATTCCCGGGGCACGGCGGCCGGTCCTCGGTCCCCTCCCTGGGGACGGCAGACTGGGACATGGGGGCTTGGCGTGGGTGGGTGGCTGGGGACCCGGGTGGGAGCAGTTTCACTGGAGGACTGGGACCTCATCACGGCATCTCATACGGGCTGGGGTGACTCAGCCGTCACACTCCTCACACGAGGAGTGCTCGTGTTTGCTCCCGCGTTGCCGTAGGGATCCCGGCAAACAGCCCGGCCCTACGGTCCCCACCGGCGGGGGGGGAATGTGGTGCCTGCACCCCCTGGGCTCCGGCTGGCACCGCCACCCCAAAACCCCTGGGCTCAGGAAGGGCAGCGTTGTGGGGGGGCAATCATGGGATGCTGGCACTCAGCTTGAGCTCGCCGGCTGGGTGCCGTGCCGCGCCATGCCGTGCTATGCCAGCCCTGCCTGGCGGTGCCAGTGGGGCACTGGGACGCTGCGCTCGTGCCACTGGGGTCACCCAGGCAGACGCAACCCCAAGCTGATGGCATCCCCCAGCTCAGCCAACACCCCTCGGGGCTCAGCCCTGTTTTGGGGTGCTCCCCACTGGTCCGGGTTGTCGCGGCGGGTGCTCACTTGCCCGGCTCTGGCCGTGGCCGGGCTGTAACCGGAGTGCCGGCCGATGCGAATGCCTTTGCCGTGAGCACGGGGCCAGCGCGGGAGGCAGCCTGGAAAAAAGCTCAGTGCTGGGAACCTGGGCGCCAGCGCCAAGAAAAACAGCCGCCTTTTGGAGGCACTTTCCAAGCAGTTAATGAGATAAACACGGCCAGGTGCCGGGCTGCGCGCCCGCACAGCGCCGGGCAGGGTGCCCCGGCTGTCCACCCGTGCTCTCCCCCAAGTGGGGAAACTGAGGCACGGCCAGGAGGAGCAGCCTGGAGCTGGTGGGCTGCCCGGGGTCGGACCACGGGGTTCACGCCGCGTTCTCCTCGCCTGGCAGGGGGAAGAGGAGGACGTGGAGCGGCACGGTGGCACGGCCGATGGGGACACACCGCTGAGCGCCAGGCTGCGGGTGACGGCTCACTGGCTGCTCTGGGCGGCCGGGAAGGGTCTGGCCATCCTGCTGCTGGCCTTGGCTGGTGGGTACGGGATGTGGGGGGGTGTGTGGTGAGCTGGGGCGGAGGGGTCTCGGTGGCCGTGCTGCCGGGGATGATGCTTGGTCCAGGGAGGGATGCTCGATCTGGGGCGGGGGGGATGCTCGGCCGCGCACTGACCGCCCACGGGGCGCTGCTCCCCAGGGATCACCCTGCCCTCCGCCTCCTCCAGCGTCTACTACCTGCTCTTTGTGGGGCTGTGCACGTGGTGGGCTTGCCACCTCCCCACCAGCCGCCTGGCCTTCGACACCCTCTGCTTCCTCGTCGGCATCTACGCCGGCGGCCACCTCCTCTGCCTCTATGCCTACCAGACGCCTTTCGTCCAGGGGGTCTTCCCGCCCCCCACCATCTGGGCACGGTGAGTCCCCGGGGAGGGAGCCGTGCCGTGGGTTCCCGTGCCACCCCGGTTGAGTGGGTGCCCCGCTTGGCCCCCGTCCCGCTGCCAGCTGCGGCAGGTCCCCGGTGAAGCCGTATGCCGTGCCAGCACCGGGATGGGACCGTGGCTGGTGGCGGGGGTCCTGGCTCGGGTGGGCGATAACTCCATCCACTCTGCCCATCCACAGGCTGTTCGGCTTCAAGGATGTTGTCCTGTACCGCAACTGCTCCCAGCCCAACGCCCTGGTGCTCAACACCGGCCACCCCTGGCCCGTCTACGCCAACCCCGGCATCCTGCTCCTGCTCTACTACACCGTGGCCACCCTGGTGAAGCTGCGCCGGCTGGATGCCAGGGTGAGGGGCTGCGGGGCCAAGACGGACCCCGTGCCGATGCCCGGTGTGCCCCGCCGCTCTGACCACCCCAACCTTGGCACCGGGGGTGCCTGGTGGAGGGGTGGTGGGGGACAGCGGGGTGCCTGGTGGAGGGGTGCCTCGGCAGGGGCACCGGGCATGATTCTGCTCCCCCGGTGGCTGCAGCGGGGTGCTCTGAGCTGGCTCCTGCCCCTCACAGAGAACCGCGGTGCCGGCACAGCCGCCGGCAAGGTGCCCGGCAAGGGAGCTGGTGGAGCTGGAGAGCTGGCCCAAGGACACCGACGGCGTGGCTGAGGACACCAAGGTGGGTTTGGGGTGGGGGGGGCTTTGCTGGAGCTGGAGGGGGAATGGGTGCGGGATGCTCTGGGGGTGCCGGGGTGGGCTCTGAGCCCTCTCTGCCCCCCCCAGCCCATGCTATCCCCCAGCACCGGGAAACCGGGCAGCGGTGCCGAGAACTGCACTGTCCACGTCATGGGCAACTCACCACAGCCGGGTAAGCCCGACCCTGCCGCCTCCCCCTCCCCAAGGGCTGCCCGTGGCCCGGGGGGTGGCTCATGGTCCCCCTCCCCGTGGCCAGGCAGGAGGCGTCCGGCGGAGCGGCTGCCCCTGCACACCCTGGGCCACGTCGTCATGAACCAGAGCTATGTCTGTGCCCTCATCGCCATGATGGTAAGGGGCTGGGGGGGGGATGAAGATGATGGGGGGGCACCTCCTGGGCTGAGCCCGGGCGAGGGGCCGCATTCCTGCCTGCCCGCAGGTGTGGAGCATCACCTACCACAGCTGGCTGACCTTCGTGCTGCTGCTCTGGGCATGCCTCATCTGGACGGTGCGGAGCCGGCATCACTTCGCCATGCTCTGCTCGCCTTTCCTCCTCCTCTACGGCATCGCGCTCTGCAGCCTGCAGTACGTCTGGGGTATGGATCTGGCCCCCGAGCTGCCCACCCGCGTCGGCTTCATGAGCCTCGAACAGTTGGGGCTGGTGCACCCCAAATATCCCTGCTTGGACCTGGGGGCCAAGGTAAGCCCGGTGTCCCCATCCCTGTCCCCTCTGGTACCCGGCTGTCCCCACTCACCGCCTGTCCCCGCAGCTCCTGCTCACCCTCACCTTCTGGCTGCTGCTGCGGCAGTTCGTTAAGGAGAAGCTGCTAACGAGGAGGTGCCCGGCCACCCCGCTCCTGGAGGTGACCGTCTCGGACACGGGTAAGGGCTCCCGGCGTCACCCACCCCGAGGGACCCTGTCCCAGGCTGAGCATCCCCAGGGATGCGAGTGCCCGGAGGTGGGCAGCTGCCAGAGAGGGGGGGACACGACACGCGTGCCCCCCCCCCGGGCGGCTGCCTGCAGCCCCTTCCTTGCCTCGCAGAGCCCAGCCGGCAGCGGGACGTGCTGAAGGCGCTGGGGGTCCTGGTGCGGGATTTCTATGCCAAATACTGGATCTGCGTCTGCGCCGGCATGTTCATCGTGGTGAGCTTCGCCGGGCGCCTTGTCGTCTACAAGATCGTCTACATGTTCCTTTTCCTCCTCTGCCTCACCCTCTTCCAGGTAGGGGGGGCTGGGGACCCATCCCCATCCCCATCCATCCCCATCCCTGACCCCGTCCCTGTCCCTGGCGTGGTCCCACTGATGTCCCCGTCCCCGCAGGTGTACTACAGCCTGTGGCGCAAGGTGCTGAAGGGCTTCTGGTGGCTGGTGGTGGCGTACACCATGCTGGTGCTCATCGCCGTCTACACCTTCCAGTTTGAGGATTTCCCCATGTACTGGAGGAACCTGACGGGCCTCACCGACGAGCAGTGAGTGTCCCTGACACACCGCGGGGTCCCTGCTGCCGCCAGCCCCCGTGGTGGCACCAGGGCACGGCCAAGGGATGCGTTGCACGTGGGGAAACTGAGGCACGGGGGGGCAGTTGGGGTTGAGCCCTGGCGTGGTAGCTTGATGCCTGTGCAGGGTGGGATGGATGTGGCCCTGTGTTGACCTTCCTCCTCCCTGCCCAGGCTGGGCGACCTGGGTCTGGAGCAGTTCAGCGTCTCCGAGCTCTTCTCCAGCACCCTTATCCCGGGCTTCTTCCTCCTGGCCTGCATCCTCCAGCTCCATTACTTCCACCGCCCCTTCATGCACATCACTGACCTGGAGCACATCCCTGCTGCCACCACGCCACCCTGCCACATCCCCAGGTAGGGCCCCGCACCAGGGTGACCCCCCGCTCTGCACCCTGAGACCCCTGTCCCTGCTCTGAGCCCTCCTCCCCGCAGGCCTGAGGAGCTGCACGGGAGCCGGCTGCTGCGGGATGCGGCTGCTGCCGAGAATGCCGGGACGGGTGACTCCGACACCGCGTCACAGGGTACCGGGCAGGGACAGGGGTACGGGGTGGGATGGGGTGTCCTCCAAGCCAGGAAGGGGCTGCGGAGGTGCAGGGATGGATTGGGGTGTCCTTCAAGTCTGGGAGGGTATGAGGATGCATTGGGGTGTCCTCTCAGCCAGGAAGGGGCTGGGAGGATACAGGGATGGATTGGGGTGTTCTTCAAGCCAGGATGGGGCAAGGGGGGAGCAGGGATAGATTGGAGCATCCTCCAAGCCAGGAAGGGGCTGGGAGGGTACAGGGATGGGTTGGGGTGTCCCCTGAGCCAGGGTGGCTGTGGGGGTGTCCGTGACGCTCCGTGTCCCCGCAGCGCCCACCAAATGGGGACTGGTGCTGGAGCGCCTGATCGTGCTAGGCTGGACCTTCTCGGACACGTTGACCCGCGGGCAGGTCTTCGTGGGGCGCCTGCTGGAGCTCCACATCCTCAAGCTGGTGGCTCTCTACACCGTCTGGGTGGCCCTGCAGGAGGTACCAGCCCCGGGGTGCTGGGGTGGTGGGGGAACAGGCTCGACCGGGCACGCTGGGGTGCTAACGCAGCCGCTAACACAGGTATCACTGATGAACTTCTTGCTGGTGCTGCTGTGGGCCTTCGCCATGCCCTACTGCCGTTTCCGCCACATGGCCTCCTGCCTCTCCACTGTCTGGACCTGCATCATCATCGTCTGCAAGATGCTCTACCAGCTCAAGATCGTCGACCCCAGCGAGTACTCCAGCAACTGCACCCAGGTGCCCAAGGCGGCCGTGCCGGGGGGATGTGCGGTTCTTGGGGTGCTTGTGGTGGCACGGGGGGGATCCCTGGCTGGAGGTGGCAGGGGCAAGGGGTCCTGACACCCGGTGGTGCTCCTCTTTTGCAGCCCCAGCTCAACGGCACCAACCTGAGCCCGGAGGAGCTGGGTAACTCCACGCTGTACCGCGGCCCCGTGGACCCTGCCAACTGGTTCGGCATCCGCAAGGGTTACCCCAACCTGGGCTACATCCAGGTGGGCACGGGGACGCCCCGTCTGCGGGGAGCACGTGGGGGGGATGCTCGGTGGCGTACCATGGTCCTGAGCATCCCTTCGTCCTCCCCCCAACCAGAACCACCTCCTGGTGCTGCTGCTGCTGGTGTTTGAGGCGGTGGTGTACCGGCGCCAGGAGTATTACCGCAAGCAGCACCAGCTGGTGGCCCCCGTCACCGAGACCATCTTCGAGGACATCTCCCGCGAGCATCTCGACCACGGCCTCGGCAGCTGTGCCAAATACTTCCTCAACTACTTCTACTACAAGTTTGGCTTGGAGGTGGGGAGCGGGTGCCGCGTGGGGGGATCCCACCGCTCGTGGCAGCCCGGGGCTGAGCCTCTGCATCTCCCCCCGCTTCCCCATCCCAGATCTGCTTCCTGATGACGGTGAATGTGATCGGGCAACGGATGAACTTCATGGTGATCCTGCACGGTTGCTGGCTGGTCGTCATCCTGACGCGGCGCCGGCGGGCGGCCATCGCCCGCCTCTGGCCCAAGTACTGCCTCTTCCTCGTCATCTTCCTCCTCTACCAGTACTTGCTGTGTGTGGGCATGCCGCCCGCCCTCTGCGTGGGTAAGGGGCAGGGGCTGGGGGGGGACACCCATCCTTTGCATGGATCACGGAGGCAGAGGTCCGTGCGTGGGCACGCTGCCTGCCCTGGGTAAGGGGCTGGCGTGTTGGGGGGCTGGCATCGAGCGTGCCCACTGCCCCCCCAGACTATCCATGGCGCTGGACCCGAGCCCTCCCCTTCAACTCGGCGCTCATCAAGTGGCTCTACCTGCCCGACTTCTTCGTGGCCCCCAAATCCACCAACCTCATCAGTGAGTATCCCCCCCCCCCCGTGCAACCCACCACCAACCCCTGCAGCCCCCTGCCCACGGGGCCCCCTGCCCCCCCCTACTCCAGCCCCTGGCACCCCCCGCCCATGGGGCACCCCCAACCCCAGCCATGGATTTTTGGGGGGGGTGTTTGTCCAGTCCTGCCCCCAGGGAGGTGAGCAGAGGGGAGGTGGGAGGAGCTGGAGAAGCCACACCCCTTTGGGGTGGAGCTTGACCTGTGCCCATGCCCCTTTGGGGGAGGAGCTGTGGAAGAGCCTTGCCCCCTGTGGGAGGAGTTTGGTTGAAGTCCCACCTCCTTTGGGGAGAAGGAGGGGGCTGGGGAGAGCCACACCCCTGAGGAGGAGGGGCCTGGGGAGAACCACACCCCCTTGGGGGAGGAGCTTAATGAAACACACATCCCAATGGACGAGTGCCCTGGGGTGCCCCACCCCTTGGGGAGGGGCTTGATGTGTGCCACGCCCCATTCTAGGGAGGGAGGTGTGGCCTACCAGAGCCCCGCCCACCCCCCCAGTCTGAGCCATGTGCCCGCAGACGACTTCGCACTGCTGCTGTGCGCGGCCCAGCAGTGGCGGGTCTTCGAGGCCGAGCGCACCGAGGAATGGCTGCGGGCGGCCGGCGAGAACACCGACCGGCTCGACCTGGCGCGGGACCCCCACAACCCCACGCCCAACTTCATCCACTGCCGGTGGGCGCCCGCTGCCGCGTGACACGCCACCGCAACCCGGGGCTGGGGTGGGCTGGGGCACCGGGGACCGTGGGGATGGGACCCCCAGGCACTGGGACCTGCCGGGCTGGGATCCCCTAAGATGGGGCTGGGACCCCTTTGGGCCAGGGAAGCTCTCCCACCGACGCTAGGCTGGGACAGGACCCCCGCCACGGCTGGGGCAGGACCCCCTGTCACTGGGTTGGGACCCCCAGGCTGGGACAGGAGCACCCTAAGGCTGTGCTGGAAAGAGGTGCCGTGCTCCAGGACACCCCTGGTGATTGTGCAGGACCCCCACGAGCATTGGGACCCCATAGACTGGGACAAGGCGCTTTGTTCCCCAAAATAGGGCTGATGCGGGGACTGGGACCGTGCTGGTTTGGCTGGGCTGTGGGGTGGCACCTCACTGCACCCCAAACCCAGGTGGTGGCAAGCATGGGTGCTGGGAGGGGATGGGGACCCTGCTCTGAGCACCCCATCCCACAGATCATACCTGGACATGGTGAAGGTGGTGGTCTTCCGCTACCTCTTCTGGTTCGTCCTGGTGGTGGTCTTCATCACCGGAGCCACCCGCATCAGCCTCTTCGGCCTTGGCTACCTGCTGGCCTGCTTCTACCTCCTCCTCTTTGGCACCGCCATGCTGCGCAAGCCAGCCCGGGCTCGTCTCGTGCTCTGGGACTGCCTCATCCTCTACAACATCACCGTCATCATCTCCAAAAACATGCTGTCGGTGAGGGCTGCTGGTCCCCAGCCATGCAACGGCCCCATGGCTGCTCCTCGGGGCCACCCACCCCTCGGACATCCCCTGGGGAGGGGATGGGTGCCGATGCTGTCCCCAGGCAAACCCCATGCTCTGCCCTCTCTCCCCGCAGCTCCTCTCCTGCGTCTTCGTGCAGCAGATGCAGAGCAACTTCTGCTGGGTGATCCAGCTCTTCAGCCTGGTCTGCACCGTCAAGGGCTACTACGACCGTGAGTTGCTGGCCTGGGGATGGGGGGGGGGTCTGGAGTCTGCCCTGCCTGAGCTGGTGGGGTTGGGGGTGCAGGTTTGGGCTGCTGCCTGACCTGCCTGCATCTCTGCCTGCCAGCCAAGGAGATGGGCAAGGACCAGGACTGCTCGCTGCCCGTGGAGGAGGCGGGCATCATCTGGGACAGCATCTGCTTCTTCTTCCTCCTGCTCCAGCGCCGCGTCTTCCTCAGCTACTACTACTTGCACGTCATGCTGGACCTCCAGGCCTCCGCCCTGCAGGCTTCCAGGTGGGGCTGGGGTCCCGGAGGGTCCCCATGGGTGCCGGGGTGTGGGTACCCCCCCCCACCCTCCCGCCATCCCTGTCCCCACAGGGGCGTCGCGCTGTTCAAGGCCAGCACCCTGAAGAGCATGCACTCCCACCGGCAAGCCGAGAAGAAGTCACTGGCCCAGCTGAAGCGGCAGTGAGTGGGTTTTGGGGGGGCACCTGGGACCACTCTCCCCCCATACCCCAGCACTGCAGCACCTTGGGGCACCCCTGTGCAGGTGGGGTGGATGGGGGTGCTCCCGGGGGGCTTGGGGGAGCGGGCTCCGCAGCGGCCTCTGCCTGGCAGGATGGAGCGGATCCGAGCCAAGCAGGAGAAGTACCACCAGGAGCGGCTGCCCCGCGGCACCGGCGAGGGGCAGGATGAGGCCAGGCCAGGTGAGAGCTGGGGGGTCCGTCCCTCCGTCCCCCCAACCCCTCTCTGGGCACAGCAGTGTGACCATGACCCATCGCCGACGCCTGTCCCGGTGGAGCCCCACGGAGCATCGTGGTGAACTCCCCTCCCTGCCCTCCTGGCTCACCCCCCATGCTGGGGGTGGGTGCACCGAGCGTGGCCGTTCTCAGCGCCCCCGTCTGCCATTCCACAGCGCCCGGCAGCCCGGCGGACCCTTCCCGGCAGAGGGAGCGGTGGTGGCGGCCATGGTTAGACCACGCCGCAGGTACTGGCCCGGCAAGGGGCCATAACGGGGCGCAGCCCCTCGGTGAGGTCCCTCCGCCGGGGACCGCTAACACCCGCGGGGAGCGGTGGTGACGGTGCTTTCGGCAAGGTGACGCCCTGCATGTTCCCCGTCCCCACGCTCGGCCGCAGGGCACTAACTAGGACTTCTCCACTTCCCAGCACTAACAGGGTGTTGGACTGGGGGTACCGGGCTGGGTTTGGGGTTACTGGCATCGGTCGCCTCCGAATGCCGGCACCGGAGGGACCCCACTTTGGGGACGCGAGAGTTGAGTCTTTGTCCCCAACGGAGATCCCCGTGGGTGTCCTCGGCACCGTGCCAGCATCACCATGTTGGCCAGAGAGCCTCGGGGAGACGGCAGCCCTGCCGTGACCACCCCCCCGTGCCGTGCCACCGGTGGGGCACTGGCTGTGCCGTGACACCCCATGCCATGGCACCAGCCGTGCCGTGACACCCCGTGCCGCCCCGGCAGTGCTGCATTCGGGGGAATACTTCCTCTTTGAGTCGGACAGCGAGGAGGAGGAGGAGGCAGCGGTGCCGGAGGAGCCGCAGCCGGGCAGGCAGAGCGCCTTCCAGGTGAGCATGGCTGGGGGGGCCCGGGGGGAGGCTGGTGGTGCCCACAGGGCACTCACGGCTCCTTTCCCCTTGCCAGCTCGCCTACCAAGCCTGGGTGACCAACACCAGGACGGCACTGCGGCAGCAGGAGCAGCCGGAGGCAGCCGGTGCCGAGGTCGCTGCAGGTGGGTCCAGCTTACCCCAAAATGGGGTTGGGGGGGCACAGGAGGGGACGCAGCCCTGCCCCGTTCCCCGCTGTTTGCTTTGGGAGTAGTCGGCATCCCGTACTGGGGCATCGCCTCAGGGTGGTTCCCAGTGTGTGTGGGTCCTCCAATGTCTACAATGGGGTTGGGCGTAATCCGTGCAGCTCTCCTTTGGTGGCCATGGTGGTTTTTAAGCCGGAGTGGGGGGACACAGGGTGTGGGGTGATGAGTGGGAGAGCCCCAACGGGGGCTAGAAATGATGTCCATCCTCTGCTGACCCCTTCCCGGGGGGGTCTGACCCTTGTAGGGGACAGCGGAGGGAGGGAGGAGGAGTTGGAAGCACCTGAAGAGGCTGAAGGCCAGGAGGAGGAGGAGGAGGAAGGCTCCGGTAGGTGGGCGGCAGGACTGCAGCTTGGGATGGGGGGGTGTTGGGGGGATCCAAGAGGGTGTGAAGTGACACCCCTCATCCCCCCCACCCCAGCAGAGCGGGGCAACGTGGTGCAGCGAGTGCTGAACACCCTGCGGTTCCTGTGGGTGCTGTGCCGGGCCATGGTGGACGGGTTGACCCAGTGGCTGGACGCCTGCACTCGGGAGCACGCCGACATGTCCACCGTCCTGCGCCTCGAGAGATACGTCCTCACGCGCCGGCTGGCCACGGTGAGCCCTGGGGGGGGGACATCAGGACACGACAGAGGGGCGGGGGGGGGGGGACAGCCCCGTGGTGGCACTGACCTGCTGCTCGCTGCAGGGAGAGGACATGCACCGCGGGGTCCTGGATGAGCTCTACCTGCTGCCGCCAGAGGAGCCCCCAGCTGAGGAGCTGAACCCACGGGGGGCCGGGGTTGCGGACCCCCAAAACGGCGTTGCTTCCAGGCAGGTGCATAGATACCCCCCCCCGAGGGGGCAGCCGGCAGCGCCGCGGGCAGGGGTCGGCAAGCAGGGGGCTCACCCCTGTCCCCGTGCCGTCCCCAGCGGGCACCAAGGAGCTGCCCCCAGCCCGGTGGGATGCCCGCTGCCCACCAGCAGCCAGGAGCAGGTGACAATTTTGGAGAGCCAGGAGGACGTGGCTGGGTCTCAGGAGCTCCTGGCCTTGCCCCAGAACCGGAGCCGGACGGCCAGCGAGCTCCTCCTGAGCAGGTACAGGGATGTGGGGATGGTGGGGATGGGGACGGGGAGTGTCGGGGCCAGCTCACCCCCCTGCTGCACCCCGCAGGCGGCTGTACTTCCCCGAGCTGGAAGAGTCAGAGCGGTTTTATCGATCCCACAACCGGTTCCTGAAGCTGCTGCTGGCTGGGTACCGCTGCGTGGCCGCCCACTCCGAGCTGCTCTGCTACTTCATCATCATCCTCAACAACATGGTGACTGCCTCCGTCATCTCCCTCTTCCTGCCCATCCTCGTCTTCCTCTGGGCCATGCTCTCCATCCCCCGGCCCAGCAAGCGCTTCTGGATGACCGCCATCATCTTCACCGAGGTGGGCAGGGGGTAGCCGGGGAGGGGATGATGCCACCCGGCCCCCGGCTGCCACCCACTGACCCCGACATCCCCCACAGGTGATGGTGGTGGTGAAATACCTCTTCCAGTTTGGGTTCTTCCCCTGGAACGGCTACACCATGCTGGTGCGCAACGAGGGCAAGCCCTTCTTCCCACCCCGCATCCTGGGCTTGGAGAAGACTGACCGCTACATCAAGTATGACCTCATCCAGCTCCTGGCCCTCTTCTTCCATCGCTCCCTGCTGCTGGTGAGCCCCAGGGCACGGGCATTGCCGTGGGCATCACCTGGATGGGATTCTCCAGGAGCTGGAGGTGCTTCTGGGGGCTCTGGAGAGCACCCAGTGGGTGCTTGGTGGCTCTGCCTTGGTTTCCACCCAAGGCACCCATTGCTGATTGGGTCCTGGTGGTGCAATGGGAGCCGAAGCTGAGGGATGGCGGGGGGTGAGGTGCGTGGGGCTGGGGGGGGCATCAGGAACGCTGTCTCCCCCTGACCATGCTCCTTCTCAGTCCTACGGGCTGTGGGACCACGAGGAGGACTCCTTCCCCAAGAAGAAGGCAGAGGCAGAGCGGGTGGAGGATGAGGAAGAAGAGGAGAGGCGGGAGGAAGCAGCGTCCCCCGCGGGTGAGGAAGGGACGGAGGTGCCGGCAGAGCCGGGGACACCGGGCGCAGCTGCGGGGCCGGAGCCAGAGGGTGATGCCGTGGGGCAGGAAAAGGGGGCCGGGGCGACGCAGCTCCGCTTCAGGAGGAAGAGGCGATGGGGGAAGAAGCAACCGGAGGCGGCTCCGGAGGAAGGTGAGCACCCGTTCCTGGACCTCGCGCCCCGGCGAGGGGCAAGGCTGGCATCCCCCAGGGTGGAGGGATGCTGGGGCAGGGCAGGATGCAGCCCTGCAGGACCCCGGCTGTCGCCCATGCTGTGCCTCACTCGCAGGGGATGGGGAGGAGGAGGAGGAGGAAGAGGAAGAGGCAAAACAGAGCCACGCTCAGAAGAAACTGAAGGCGTTTGGGCTGCAGGTCAAGCTCTTCTTCCTCACCATGTGAGTGCCCCGCAGCATTGGTTGGGGTGGGGGGTGCGGGGTGCAGCCCCCGGTCACCCATCCGTTCTGTCCCCCTCCAGGGCGCAGAACATGTACCGGCCGGTGCGTGGGTTCTTCTGGGACATCCTGCACACCCGGCACCGGGCGGCCACCGACGTCTACGCCTTCATGTTCCTGGCCGACGTGGTCGACTTCATCATCATCATCTTCGGCTTCTGGGCTTTCGGGGTGAGCAGGGGGTTCCCGCAGGGCACCAACCGGCTCCCACCGCAGGGTCAGGCCGGGCCGTATCCTGACCTCTCCTTCATCCCCAGAAACACTCAGCGGCCGCCGACATCACCTCCTCGCTGTCGGATGACCAAGTGCCAGAGGCCTTCTTGGTCATGCTGCTCATCCAGTTCACCACCATGGTCATCGACCGCGCGCTCTACCTCCGCAAGACCGTGCTGGGCAAGCTCATCTTCCAGGTCATCTTGGTCTTCAGCATCCACCTCTGGATGTTCTTCATCCTGCCGGCTGTCACCGAAAGGTACCATGCATGCGCCGAGGATGTCCCCAAGGGCACGGTGTGGCCCTAGGGTGGCACCTTTGTGTCCCCAAGGCCACATGGTGGCCCACCCTGGCTGGGGAGGTGGCCGGAGGGGTGACACCCACCCTCCCGCAGGTTGTTCAGCCTCAACACGGTGGCCCAGCTGTGGTACTTCGTGAAGTGCATCTACTTCTCGCTGTCCGCCTACCAGATCCGCTGCGGCTACCCTACCCGCATCCTGGGCAACTTCCTCACCAAGAAATACAACCACCTCAACCTCTTCCTCTTCCAGGGGTACGGCACGGGGCCGCGCGGACCCCCGAGCGCCCGGAGGGTGCCGTACCAGCCCCCTCTCCCTGTGTTCCCCCCCCAGGTTTCGCCTCGTGCCCTTCCTGGTGGAGCTGCGGGCTGTCATGGACTGGGTCTGGACGGACACCACGCTGTCCCTCTCCAACTGGATGTGCGTGGAGGACATCTACGCCAACATCTTCATCATCAAGTGTAGCCGCGAGACGGAGAAGGTACAGCCCCGCTGTGCTGGGAAGGGTCCCCCAGTAAGCCCCTTGTTGCTTGGGGTCCCCCCGAGCCCACCTGACATCGTGTGCTGTCTCCCCCCCCCCACCTAGAAATACCCCCAGCCCAAGGGGCAGAAGAAGAAGAAGATCGTGAAGTATGGCATGGGGGGCCTCATCATCCTCTTCCTCGTGGCCATCATCTGGTTCCCACTGCTCTTTATGTCGCTGGTGCGCTCCGTGGTGGGTGTTGTGAACCACCCCATTGACGTCACCGTCACCCTCAAGCTGGGGGGGTATGAGGTGAGGATGCAGGGGGTGGGTGCTGGGGTGCCCAGCCCAGATGCTGGGGTCCCCTGCCCGGCTGATGGCACCCTGTCCCCTGCAGCCACTGTTCACCATGAGCGCCCAGCAGCAATCCATCCAGCCCTTCACCCCCCAGGACTACGAAGCCCTCACCAACCAATTTGAGAGGCAGCCGGTAAATCCCCCCCCTCCCCGCTCCATCCTGCTGGGAGGCCGGCAGAGTCGGGGGGTGCCCTGGGGTAGGGGTGTCCTTGGGTGGGGGTTGACCTGGTCATCGTCCCCCCCCCTTGCACTAGGTGGCCATGCAGTTCATCACGCTGTACGGCTACGAGGACATCGTGAGGGCTCGCATCGAGGGCAGCTCGGGCTCACTCTGGAGCATCAGCCCCCCCAGCCGGGAACAGATGCGACGAGAGCTGCAGAACGGCTCCTCCGACATCACCCTCCGCCTCACCTGGACCTTCCAGAGGTACCGCCGGCACAGTGGCAAGGAGGAGGAGGAAGGAGGGGGGCAGCCCTGCCTGCCCCCCCCCTCAACACACACTCAACCTCTGCTCTGCCCGCAGGGACCTGGGCAAAGGGGGGACGGTGGAGCACACCTTCGACAAGCACACCACCGACCTGCAGCCCGGCGCGCCCCAGCGCATGGAGCTGGCCCAGCTGCTGCAGGGCACCCGTGATGCCCCCGTGTGAGTGTCCCCAGGGAAGGGACAAGGGCCTGGACCCCCCCACTCCATAGTCATTGGGATGGTGTCCCCCACCTCCGCATCGCTCACCCCGCTCTCTTGCAGGCAAGTGCCCAAACTGTTCCCCAAATACATCCGGGCGCCCAACGGTCCCGAAGCCAACCCCGTCAAGCAGCTGCTGCCAGGTGAGTCCCACCATGTGTCTCCCCACCCCCAAAAAAAAGAAATCAGCGTTGGGGGTACACCAGCAGCCATACTGTGCCCTGACACTCTGTGTGTGTGTCCCCTCGACAGACGGGGAGGACAGCTACCTGGACGTGGAGGTGCAGCTGAAACGGGAGCGTGCGGGTGCCGGCCGAGGGGGTGACAGCTTCTTGGAGTGGTGGGTGATACGGCTGAAGGAGGCCACCCCCAGCGACGGCAACATCCTCCCCATGATCATCTTCAACGATAAAGTCAGCCCCCCCAGCCTGGGCTTCTTGGCTGGCTATGGGTAAGTGGAGGAGGTACGCGGGGAGGGGGGGGACCACCAGGCTGTACCCCAAAAGGGACGCAAGTCTGGGGGTGTGGGATACAGGATGCAACCCCCCCCCCCCCCTTGCAGGATCATGGGGCTGTACGTCTCCATCGTGCTGGTGATTGGGAAGTTCGTGCGGGGTTTCTTCAGCGAGATCTCGCACTCCATCATGTTCGAGGAGCTGCCCTGCGTGGACCGCATCCTGAAGCTGTGCCAGGACATCTTCCTGGTGCGGGAAACGGGCGAGCTGGAGCTGGAGGAAGAGCTCTACGCCAAGCTCATCTTCCTCTACCGCTCCCCTGAGACCATGATCAAGTGGACGCGGGAGAAGGAGTAAGGGGAAGGGGCTCTGGGCCCCCCCCCTCCCGGGGACATCACCGCCAATGCCTTAACCAGTCCTGTCCCCCCCCCCCGCAACAAGCTGGGGCCGTATCCTGCTGGGGGAGGCAGTGGGACGCAGGGTGCTCGGCGCTCGCTTTTAGGGAGGATGTTTTTCTTGCCGTCCGACCTGCGGAGACCACGTCGTGCCTTCCCGGGGTGGGGGACAGGAGCTGGCCCCCCCACCCCCACCCGCTGGGCACCCCTGGCTGCCGGGTGGAGGGGGGGTTGGTCAGGAGCCAGCCTGTGCCCCCTCCCCACTCTCCCCAGCCCTGCTCCAGAACCAGGTTGAACTCAAAAGCAATAGCCCCCCAGCCCCAGGACGGGGGGGCCCTGGGTCATGGCCCCCCCAACCAGGGGTGGGGGCTGGCAGCCCCAGCTGGACTCTAGACACTTGTGACTTTGGTTTTGTTTTTTTTTTTTTTTTATTAATTCAAATGGTTTATTTATACAGATATCTAATAAAACAAAGCTGAGGCCTCCCTGGCTGATGTGCAGCTGGGGTGGGGAGAGGGGGGGGTGCTGGGTGGAACTGGGGACCTACTGCCCCCAGGGGGTACCAGCACCCCTGGCTCCCACTGAATGGGGGTTACCAAAACGGGGTGTAAAAGCAGCTAGCCTGGGTGCCAGGGTTCCCCAGGAGCTCTGGTTCCCCACCATCCTATGGGGCATCCCTGGTGGGGGGGGTGGCACCCTGCCCCACCAGTACCCCGGAGGGATGAAGTTCTGTATCCCCCGCTGTCCTCAGCCCCTTCAGCTCTCGCCGGGCTCCTCATCCTCCAGCGGGACCTCCTGGCTTTGCTGCTTCATCTCTGCTCTGCAAAGGACGGACACGGTGCTGATGGACGCACGTGGCAGCGGGGGCTGAGCCGGCAGGGAGGGGACACCCCCCCACACCCCATCCCCCCTACCTGCGGATCCTGCGCTGGGCCTCAGTACGCACGTAGGGTGGCAGCGTGGCGAGGGGACCCTGCAAGAGAGGGGCCGTAGGCACGGGGACCCCCCGTTCCCGAGGAGAGCCACCCCCCCTGTCCCCCAAAAGCCTTACCAGCTCCTTGAAGGTGAGGCGGCAGCTGTAGCACAGCAGCGGGATGAAGGCAGCTCTGCTCTCAGCCCTGCGGGGACAGGGACCCTCAGCGGTGACGGCACGGTTCACCCCGGTGCCTGCACGGCATCCCCCTCCCTGCCCAAACGCTTACCCTGCTGCCGCCGTGTCCTGGCAGCACCCATTCCACTCCGGCTCCTCCGTGATCAGCGTGGGCTCCAGGGCCAACTCCTCCTCTGCAAGAGCCAGAAGGCAGGGGTATGACTGGGGGGCGTGCATGGCTGCCCCCCGCCCCAATCCCCTATTACCCCCCCCCACTCACCCCCAGCGATGTCCAGGGCGCACAGGCAGAGCAGGCAGCGCTGGGACTCACTGCTTGCCTTGGCTGGAGCCGGGCTTAGCTTCTCACCCGTCCTGCAAGCAACATGGGGGGGTAAACGGGTGCACCCCCCGCTCACCCCCAAACCAAAAACCACCCCCCCTCGCCCTGGGGTGTCCCCGTGCAGGGGACACCGTACCGGTAGACGGTGCTGATGGTGGAGGGGAAATCCTCCTGCAGCCCCAGGAGGAAGCGTTCCATCAGACGGTGGATGCTGGGCTTCTCCTGGCGCTGGGGGAGCAAGCGGAGAGGGCAGGAGCGGGGGGGGGGGGGGGTCCCGTCCCCGCCATGGGGATGCAGAGCTCGGGATCCCCCCACCAGGGGACGGGGGATGTCCTTACCTTGGTGGGGAGGGGCGGCGCGATGACGGTGGGGACGTCGAAGAAGTGGTTGTAGAAGGCGATCTCCTTGGCCATGTACTCCCGCATGGGACGCACCACCATCACGTCGCCGTGGCGGTCGTCCACGAAGCCCTGTGGGTGCATGGCTGCGGAGGGACTGTGCCACCACCAAGCTGCAGATCATCCCCCCGCCTCCCTCCACGGCATCGCGTCACCCCTCCAGGTGAGGATCGCCATCCCCAGCTTGGAAACAGGGTGCCGGCAGGCTGCTCACCGTGTCAACGGCGAGGAAGGCGCCGCGACCCAGCGCCAGGTTGGTGAGGAGCTTGATGGCCACCCGGGTGCAGCTCTCGCCCGTCATCACTTTGGTGTAGCCCCTGGTCCGGGCTGTCTGCAGGATGAGGTGGATCCTAGGGGACAAGGCGACACCAGCTCAGAGCCACCACGCCATGCGTGGTGCCAACGCCGGGCAGGATCGGCCCCTCACCGCAGCATCTGCAGCAGCTCCTCTCTCGCTGTCGGCGTCTCCACGGCCTCGAAGAGCCGCAGCAGCTCCTGGGTGCGGGCAGCAGCAGGCAGGCGGGGGGCAGCCAGATCCCCGACCTGGGTGCTGAGGCTGGGCAGCGAGGTGCCGCCGTCCCCGTCCCCCTCCTGCCGCTGCTGCTGGATGAAGCCCTCCACAGCCTCCTTGTAGGAGGGACCGGGCTCGCCAGAACCCCCTGGCCCTGGCCGCAGGATGGATGCGGGCAGCTCCAACGCCTGTGGGGCAGAGATGGGTACCAGTGTGGGGCTGGGGGCAGCCAGGTGTGTGTTCCTGCCCGGCGTGTCCCCCCCCACTTCGTCCCCATACCTGCTCCAGGTGGGCCAGGTGGTAGGGGAAGCCGGTCGCCTGCAGCAGGGTCTCCATGCGAGTCAGGCTCTCCTCCCGCTGTGCCGGGCTCTGCCCGCGCACCGCTCCCTCTGCAAAGCGGGTGGGCAGCACCGGGGCCGCCGCCACAGTGAGGAAGGGGCACTCACCCCATCCCTGGGGCGAGGGGGACACCCCGGGATGCCACAGCCCTCCTGGGCTTGGCACTGGGCACGGCGCTGGGAGCAGGCAGCGGGGCAAGGAACAGGCAGCAAATGGGCAGCGGGGTTAATCCTTACCGTCAACATAGATGAGGCCGGGGATGAAGCGGAGTCTCTTGGCCGTCTCCCGGCTGAGCCCCTGGCAGAGGTGCAGGGTGAGGGGGGTGGGTGAGTTGTCCCCCCCCCCAGTCCCTCCATCACCCCCACTCTCACCTCTTGGACCTGCCGGAGCATGGCACTGGATGCTGGTCCCCCCGACAGCGCCAGCAGCACCTGCAGGGACATGAGGGACGGTCACTGGCCCTGGTGCCACCACCCAGGTGTCCCCCCACACCTCTGTGTCCCACCCCCCACAGTACCTTGTCTCCCGGGAAGATGACACGGTTCTTGCCCAGCATTGCACGGAACTTATGCACGAAGTACTCGCGGAAGCAGCCACTGCGGGGACACGGCCCTGAGCCATGGCATGTTCTATGGCACCCAGCGCCCATGTCCCCAGGACGCAAAGTCCTTGAGCCCCCTCTCTCCAAGCCTTGATGTCCCAGAGACTCGATGTCCCCGAGACCTAATGTCCCCAAGCCACAATATTCTTGTGCCCTGCTGTCCCCAAGCCCCTTGTCTCCAAGCCCTGCTATCCCCAAGCCTTGATGTCCCCGAGACCCAATGTCCCCAGACCCTGATGTCCCCAAGCCTTGACGTCCCAGAGACCCAATGTCCCCAGACCCTGATGTCCCCAAGCCTTGACGTCCCAGAGACCCAATGTCTCCAAGCCTTGATGTCCCCAAGCCTTGACGTCCCAGAGACCCAATGTGCCCAAGTTCCGTGTCCCCAAGACCCAATGTCCCCAAGCCCCGATGTCCGAGAGACCCAACATCTCCAAGCCCCGATGTCCCCCAGCCTTGCCGTCCCAGAGACCCAACGTCCCCAAGCTCTGTGTCCCCAAGCCCCAATGTCCCAGAGACCCAACATCTCCAAGCCCCGATGTCCCCCAGCCTTGCCGTCCCAGAGACCCAATGTGCCTAAGCCCTGTGTCCCCAAGACCCAATGTCCCCAAGCCCCGATGTCCCCAAGCCTTGACATCCCAGAGA